GAAATTTTCTGTCAGCAATTCTTCAGTGATCCTCTCCTGTGTTTTCTGTTTTCTCCCCCTGTTCTGGAACTCCGATCACTTGCAGATTTTTGCTTTTGATTGTATCCCACATAATTCTCAGGGTTTCTTCATTTTTCTTCGTTCTTTTTTCTGATTTTTTTCCTCAGAGTTGTAGCCAAGTGTTTGTCTTCACTTTTCACTGATCCTGTCTTCCATCGTTTTAGACCTGCTCCTCAGCCCTTCTATGATACTATCCATTTCTGAAATCTTGTTGTTTATTGTTTGGATTTCTAATTGTTGTTTTTCTATGATTTCTAGTTGTGAATTTATCTTAGCATTTTGTTCCTGTATTATTTTCTTGAATTCTTCCTTTTTTTGTCTGTTTCCATGAATTTGTCGGCCTTTTCCATGAATTTGTCTATTTTTTCCTCATTTTTGTCTGCTTTTTGCTTCAACTCTTGAATAATGCTGAATATTAAAGATTTGAATTCCCTGTCAGTTCTAGTGCCTTTTCTTCTACTGGAAATTCATCTGGTGTTTTATTTTGGATGCCTACTGGAACCGTCCTGTCCGGTTTTTGTAGATGTTTTGATAATTGTCTGCTGTCTTCAGGACATTTGGTGGTTATTTTCCTCGTTTATTGATTGTAGATTTGTTTGTTTCATCCTGCTTTTTTGTTTTATTTGTTTATGTCTGAGTAGGCAGGCTGTGTGTTCTTTGTTGTTTGCTCGTCTGTGGGCACGATACTTTTCACCTCCTTCTCCAGTGGGCAGGATCAGTCACTCAGGTATGGCACAGCAGGGCAGGTCCAGCTGAAGGGTAGTTGCTGGGATGGGTTGTTAGTGGCATGTACCAGGGCCGACAGTGCAGACCAGGAGTCAGTGCGGGGCAGGTTCCAGTAGGCTGTGCCTGTGCTGCTTGGGGGTGTGATGTTCAGCACACGGTGCAGGTAGGCAGCAAGGAGGGGGTAGATTGTGCTGTGTGGAGGTAAGATGGGTATGGGAAAGATAGGAGAGAGGAACAGGAGCCAAAAACATACACACAAACAAAA